GGGGGGGGGGGGGTCCCTGCTCCCCACCCCCAATGGAGCCAGCCCAGCCAGGACACAGGGCAGGGGGTGGGGTCCATGTTTATTCCTTTAAAAATAAAATAGTCCAGTGGGGAAGGGGAGACACATGCATGAGGGTGGGGCTCAGCACCCTCCCAGCCAGGAGCTCCCCCCAGCTGACCTGAGGCCTATTAAACCTCTGAGTGCTGCCATGCAGTGCAGTGCAGTGCAAGCCTAGCAGGGAGGAGGGGAGGGAGGAGCTGTATTTCCCCCACCCCCCCAGTGTCACAGTGTGTAGACCCCACTAAGGAAGGGAGGGCAGGTGTTTAGTGGAGGATTAACCCCGCATGCACTGGAGGAAAGAAAGGGGGCAAATGGGACTCAGTGCAAGCGAGTGGGGGAGTGGCGTGTCCCCATGTGCTGTTTCGAAAGGGGCCAGGGGATGACAGACATCCCAAGGGACCCCCAGAGGTGGGAAAGGGAAGGTGCTCCTGGTTGGGGGGGGGTGCACAGCAGCAGTGGGGGGGTGTCTCTGAATAGTGAGCAGCAATGCAAAAGTTAAATGCCCCCCCCCACTTCACATACCCCGTCTGCCCTGGGGAAGCAGGAGATGCCCTCAGCACCCCCCTGTGCTCTAGGATGGAGGGGAGCCTGGATCAAGCCCTCAGCCTCAAAGTCCATGCCCCTTCCTGCCGAATGGATCCCAGCCATTGGGGGCAAGCACAGGTGCCCACCCTCCCTCCAGGCTGGTGCTGCCCCCCGAGGAGGCGGGGGGTCCCAGGAGCCACCGGAGCCATGGGCAGGGCCATCAGGAGCAGCTGCTTCTCCGCCGGCGCAGCAAGGTCACTGGGTGGGTGGGCTCGTCCTCCTGGTCACTCTCGCAGCTGCGCTGCAAGGGGACAGGAGGGTCAGGTGGGGGGCCACAGGGGGCAGCCATGGCCTGGGGGCATCAAGCCTGGCTTGGTGCCCCCAGGGGCTGCGCTGACCCCAGCCCCAAGAGGGAGGCACACCCTGGGCACATACCAGGGGCTCGTCAGCCTTGCTCTGGTTGCACAGGAGCTTCATGCGGCAGAGGCGGTTGCAGGCGGACACCATGTTGTAGGAGAGCTGCGGGGTGGGATGCATGCTTGCACACGCTTGCGCACACAGACCCCCTCCCGTTGCCCCCAGCTCCTCTCCAAGGCCATGGGAGCCCTTCCAGGCCTGGCCTCTCCTGCCATAGATGTGCAGGACACAGCAGCTGTTTAGGACGGGGACAAAGAGGACTCCCGGGACCCCTTTACCTTCCACTTCCTGCGGGCATTGAACTTGCGGAAGTTCTTCATGTTGATGGAGGACCGACTGCGGTTCGCAACCTGCTTCCGGCTCAGGGGCTGGTGGAGTGGGGCATGCAAGGGGTCACTGCCCCGGTGCCCGCTCAACCCCTTCCAAATCCCTCCCGGCCCTCACGGGCACTGGACACTGCTGGCAGCCCTTGCCCTGCCCCAACGCCTTGGGGGGTCCCATGTGCCCTGTGCCCCTTACTTTGATCCAGGGGTGGACGAGGCACTCGGCCGCGGTCATTCGGTCCCTGGAATAGAGTTTGGCTTCTTCACTGCCTCCTCCCCACCCCGCTGCTGCCCCACAGAACTGCCCCCTGCTCCCCGCCACTTGGGGGAGAAATACAGGGGACCCTCCACCAGACCCAGGCCTCACCCTGGCTCCTTGACCAGCAGCTGGCTGATGAAGTCCTTGGCCATCTCACTGGTCTGGCTGAAGTACTTGTTCTCGAATTCGTAGCTGCCGGCCACCACATTAGTTAGGGTCTCGGCATCTGTCTCGCCCTGGAAGGGCGACATGCCACTCAGCCTGGTGGAGGGGGAGATAGGCCCATGAGGCTGTGCAGGATGGACACCCCCCATGCCTGCATGGCCAGGTGGTCCCCTGGGTGAAACCCCCTTCCTCTGGCCAGCTTCCCCTGGGTCAACCAGGGGCCCCGATCCAGAGCTTCTGCAGATTGGAGCCAACAGCCCCCTGCGCTGAGCAGAGGGGCTGGTTTCCCAGGTCCCATTGACAAGGGGGCAGACCATGGGACTGGGGGGTCTCTAGATCTCCCCACTCCGAGCCAGGACTCCCTGGGGTGGGGATTTACAGCTGGGGCTAACGAGTAGGGGAAGCACTGCCGTGGCCCTGGGCACTCACAGGATGTAGGTGATGACCCCGATGCTCCTGAAACAGATAGAGATGCCCCAGGTGAGCCCCCCGCAAGGGCTCTGTGCCCCCTGCCCCAGGCTGGTGGCTGGACCAAAGGACACAGCGGGTCTTTCAAGGGCAAAGGACCTGACAGTCTCACCCGGGCTGACATGGGAACCCCAGATTCACCTGCCCTGCCCCTACCCACCAGCCCTCGAGAGGCAAGAGCGCAGCTCGGGCCCTGGATGGCCACCACAGGGACCCCCCACGCACACATCCCACACCCCCTCCAGGACACTTACCACATATCTGTAGCCGAGCTCAGCGGTTCATAGTTGATCACTTCTGGAGCTGCAAAGCAGGGAGGGAAAAAACCAGAATAGTCACTGCTGGAGCTGGTCCCTTACAACCCCTGGGGGTAATGAAGGGGTCTTGTGGCCCCTCCCGTCTAGCTCATAACAGGGTTCCCCTGCCCCCCCATGAGGCAGGAGCAATGGTGTGGCCCTTGGTCCGGCACCCGAGGAGCTGAGACATTGCTGGAGCGCTAAGCCCATCCCCTCCTCCTCTACATCCCCCTCCTCTTCAAAGCCCCCCTCTGCCATGGAGCCCTTCCATGCCTCGTTTTCCACCACCATGTTCCACCCCAGAGGTGGCTGCATTTCCATAGCAGGCAGTTATTCCTCCATCTACCCATTGATGCCAGAAGCCGCTGGTCACAGCTACGCAGCAGGATGGGCTGTGGCACAGGTCAGTGCCAAAGAGCAGGGCGGGGGTAGAAAGCCCCGGCGCCCGGCCAGGCCCCTCACCAATGTACTGTGGGGTGCCACAGAGGCTCTTGAAGGTGGCGCCATCTTCCAGCTTCTGCGCCAGGCCAAAGTCGATGATCTTGATCTTGGGGTTGGGCACATCCTTCTCCAGCAGCATGATGTTCTCTGGCTGCAGGGAGGGGCAGGAGGCACCATGAGCCCCAGTCATCCCCCCCACCAAATCCCCGTGGCCCCTTGGCACATCCCCCTGGCTGGGGGCAGGGGTGGGAAAGCCACGTCCATGGCTGTGAGACCAAGCTAGAGCTGCCCTGGGGCTGCTGTCAGCGGCATGGCGCAACAAGACGTGGCTCCATGATGGGACCAGACCCCAGCACAGAGCACCCCTGGGATCAGCCCCCTCCCCAGGGCAGGGGCGGCAGCTCCAGGGGGAGGTGGGGGGCACCTTGAGGTCAAAGTGGGCGATGTGCTGGGAGTGCATGTAGGCGACTCCACGCAGGATCTGCTCCAGGAACTCGATGGCCTCGGCCTCTGACAGCATCTCCTTGGCAGCGATGAAGTCAAAGAGCTCCCCGCCGCAGATCCTGGCGGGGAAGGGTGAGGGGTGAGCACCAAGGAGCACAGGCATCCTGCACCTTTCACTGCCAGGACACAGCCAAGGGGCAGGGTCCTATCCCCAGGTCTGCTGCACCCTGGCCTTGGTGAGGTCTTGTCCCTGTTCCAGGCTTCAGTTTCCCCATGTGGAAAATGGGAGGAGAGGGGCTGTGCAAGCATAGTGTGTGCTGGGGGGGTGGGGAATCAGAGCCTAGCCCCACCCCCAACCCTGCAGCACTCACAGCTCCAGCACCAGCACCATCTCGGCCTTGCTGGCGAAGAGGTCGTACAGGCGCATGATGTTGGGGTGCTCGAGCTGCTGCAGGATGCCGACCTCACGCTCCACCT